AGCCAAAAACTCCAGGGGTATGTCTACACTACCCTCCTAGTTCGAACTAGGAGGGTAGTGTAGACATACCCCTGGAGTTTTTGGCTAGCTGTTCTTCAAACTCCTTTTTAGCTCTTCTTATTACATTTTTACACATAATTTGACAGTGTTTATGGTCCTTACTATTTACCTCACTAGGATTTGACTTCCACTTTTTAAAAGATGTCTTTATCTCTCACTGCTTCTTTTACATGGTTGTTAAGTCACGGTAGCTCTTTTTTGGTTCTTCTATGTTTTTTAATTTGGGGTATACATTTAAGTTGGGCCTCTTTTACGGTGTCTTTGAAAAGTGTCCATGTAGCTGGCAGGGATTTTACTTTAGTCACTGTACCTTTTAATTTCTGTTTAATTAACCTCCTCATTTTTGCATAGTTCCCCTACAAATGCTACAATGTTGGGTTGCTGAGGTGTTCTTCCCACCACAGGAATTGCCTCTCCCCTTGTGGGTTCCTGTACGAGCTGCTCTAAGAAGCAGCCCGGGAAATTCAAATCCCGGGCTTCATTTGCAAGTACGGTATGCCTACATTACCCCGCTAGTTCGAACTAGCGGGGTAGTGTAGACATACCCTATAGGTGGTAATTTCAGTCCTCACGGCTGAGGATGTTACGGAGATTCCTAAACCTGACCCGTCCTTTGTAGGTGACAAATCTGAGGACTTGTCAAAGACTGAAGTGTCATTAGAGGAGGTTTTGGAATTAATTAATAAACTTAACAGTAACAAGTCACTGGGACCAGATGACATTCACCCAAGAGTTCTGAAAACTCAAATGTGAAATTCCGGAACTATTAACTATAGTTTGTAATCTATCCTTTAAATCAGCTTCTGTACCTAATGACTGGAAGATAGCTAATGTAACACCAATATTTAAAAAGGGCTCTAGAGGCGATCCCGGCAATTATAGACTGATAAGTCTAACGTCAGTACCGGGCAAATTAGTTGAAACAATAGTAAAGAATAAAATTGTCAGACACATAGAAGAACATAATTTGTTGGGCAAAAGTCAACATGGTTTCTGTAAAGGGAAATCATGTCTTACTAATCTATTAGATTTCTTTGAAGGGGTCAACAAACATGTGGACAAGGGGGATCCAGTAGATAAGGTACTTAGATTTCCAGAAAGCCTTTAACAAGGTCCCTCACCAAAGGCTCTTACGTAAATTAAGTTGTTATGGGATAAGAGGGAAGATCCTTTCATGGACTGAGAACTGGTTAAAAGACAGGAAACGAAGGGTAGGAATAAATGGTAAATTTTCAGAATGGAGGGGGTAACTAGTGGTGTTCCCCAAGGGTCAGTCCTAGGACCAACTTATTCATAAATGATCTGGAAAAAGGGGTAAACAGTGAGGTGTCAAAGTTTGCAGATGATACTAAACTGCTCAAGGTAGTTAAGACCAAAGCAGACTGTGAAGAACTTCAAAAGGATCTCACCAAACTTAGTGACCGGGCCACAAAATGGCAAATGAAATTTAATGTGGATACATGTAAAGTAATGCATATTGGGATAAATAACCCCAACTATACATATAATATGATGAGGGCTAATTTAGCTACAACTAATCAGGAAAGAGATCTTGGAGTCATCGTGGATAGTTCTCTGAAGATGTCCACTCAGTGTGCAGCTGCAGTCAAAAAAGCAAACAGGATGTTAGGAATCATTAAAAAAGGGATAGAAAATAAGATGGAGAATATCTTATTGCTCTTATATAAATCCATGGTATGGCCACATCTAGAATACTGTGTACAGATGTGGTCTCCTCATCTCAGAAAAGATATACTGGCATTAGAAAAGGTTCAGAGAAGGGCAACTAAAATGATTAGGGGTTTGGAACGGGTCCCATATGAGGAGAAATTAAAGAGACTGGGACTTTTCAGCTTAGAAAAGAGGAGACTAAGGGGGGATATGATAGAGGTATATAAAATCATGAGTGGTGTGGAGAAAGTGAATAAGAAAAAGTTATTTAGTTGTTCCCTTAATATAAGAACTAGGGGCCACCAAATGAAATTAATGGGCAGCAGGTTTAAAACAAATAAGAGGAAGTTCTTCTTCACACAGAGCATAGTCCATCTGTGGAACTCCTTGCCTGAGGAGGCTATGAAGGCTAGGACTATAACAGGGTTTAAAAGAGAACTAGATACATTCATGGAGGTTAAGTCCATAAATGGCTATTAGCCAGTATGGTAAGGAATGGTGTCCTCAGCCTCTGTTTGTCAAAGGGTGGAGATGGATGGCAGGAGAGAGATCACTTGATCATTACCTGTTTGATTCACTCCCTCTGGAGCACCTGGCATTGGCCACTGTCGGCAGACAGGGTACTGGGCTGGGTGGACCTTTGGTCTGACCCAGTATGGCCATTCTTATGTTCTTATGTTCAGGATGCCCTCCTCGTTTGCTCCAGCCTATTACACAAATCTTTTCTGACACTGCTCCCCTCCATTTATCTACCACCAGATTAATTTCTGCCTCTTCACACAATATAGGCCCTGCTGGTGTGAAGATCACCTCTGCTCTTTAGAGAGGTCTTTCTGTAGCTCTCCTCACTGCTTTTCCCTCAGTGTAAAAAAAATCCAGACCCACCCACCATCACCTTTTTCTCCTTAAACCCACTTGCCACAGCCAGAACTACTGCCATTATAGGACAGCTGGGGAGCAATACTGATACTGTAAACACAGCTAGCCAATATGACTGGTCACATTATTGTTCAATCACCCTGCCACCCCTTTCCATCCTTATTCATTTGTCTGTTTCATCCACCTGCTGCATCTTGTCTTTAATCAAGACTGGAAACTCTTTAGGGCTGGGGCTGTGTCTTGCTATGTTTATCTAGCACATGGGGCTATGGGCTCAGTCTGGAGCACCCAGGAACTAATGGAATATAAATAATATTACTAGTTGCCTTTACCATCTATTTTCAAACCTCAGCAGAAACCATTATTCTTCTCTTGCCTGCAGCTCTTAATTTGTCTCTGCCTCTGCCATTACTTACAATTTAATGCTCTGACTGTTATTTAACTCTGCAAAGCATGCAGTTTATATGAAAGATGGGATACAAATTCAGCTTGGTTATGTTGTTACCATAAATAACTAAATGAGAAAAAGCCCTAAGATTAATTTTGATCGGTTTTCAAATCATAACAGGATAAACAGTTTAAAAGTCACAGAAATACATTTCTGTGAGAAATGTAGAGTCAAAATAAAACAAACCAAACATGTTATCAACCTGCTTATTAGCTGCTGTTAGCCAAGTGCTTGAAAGATGAAAAGTGCTGTGAAAGTGCTAACATGTGATGGAAGTGCTATTCATGCCCTGTACAGGAGAGTGCTTTTCCACTACACAGTCTCCTACCTGAAAATTATTGCTCAGGCTTCTAAAAAAGCTTTTCAGTAAGTATTTTAGGTGATCAGAGCGGCAGGTGACAAATGTACCCTATGGTTTAAGCCTCCAGAGCTGCCACCTAAGGGCATTAGCCAAGCCGCATGTGTGCTGATCAAGGGACACACATTGGAAAGGTCTTTCCTCAAGCAATCATCATAACTGCAAAGCATTCCACCAACATTCGCTGGTGGCAGAACTCGCTCGGGCGACGGGGTGAAATCCCGGCTGCACTTCAGTCAAGTGGCCAGTTTCCCATCGTCCCAACTCCAATCTAAAGGCAAGTCTACATTAGCGGCTGTGAATCACACTGCTGGCGGCGGGGGGAGCCCGGGGTTCCAGCTCTCAGCCCGCCGCGGGGCCGACGAAGAACCTGGGAACGCTACGACCCTGCCGCATGCACGCGAGGCTCAATTCCTCCAGGGGGCGCTCTGTACTGGGCTTCAGGGGAGAGGGGAATCCGATCGCAGCCTGCTGCCCTTTCGACTTAAAGGCAGAGCTCCACCGCGTGCTCAGATGCAGCCGCGTAAACCGGGCGGTGGGCGCCTGCTCCCCGGTGCAAAGGAGCCGCTGGAGATGGCAGTGCGATGCTATCTGTAGGGAGCTTGGGTGCTCCCCGGGCACACTCCCCAGCCGGTGCTGGTAGGTTCGCCGCCCCGCCCACTAGGTAGGCTGGGGTCGGAGACTCGTGGAAGTAAGAGCGATGATTTATGGTGCCGGACGGGACGATGGGTCGCACGAATTGCACATGGGCAAGGAAGCAGCAGCAATCTCAGAAGCGATCCACGTTTCACCCATGTTCAAAAAAAGCCGGGTGGGGAGACTCTAAGGAGCCATCCCACGGAGCATTAAATCCCAAGGGGTTCCCTGGTCTCTCTCCTTCGCTGCGGAATCTCTCTCCACCTTCTCCTCCCCTCCGTCCCCCCTCTCCCCCCAACCTGATCCTCGCTTCTTCAGAAAGACGCACACCGTATTCCAGGGGGGAATATGCTTGGCTGGAAACTTAGCAAAAGCAGAAATGCTGCTGCTGCTGTTTTGAACGAATGGAGTAATTCACCTCGCACTATTCACCGCCCCACCATTTCCTCAGAACACCTCTATATATCACCCACAGCTTTAAGCTGACTCTTTTTTATGCCTCGGGAGGAGGGACAAAACAATCCATTTCCATACCAATTTGTGGCTTCCCGAAACAGTGAAAGCACATCCAGGAGATGCCTGGATTCTTCCATTTTATCAATCTGTCTGAACTCCTGCTGGCTCAAGTATTTAAGATACAATCAAGTTCGCATAATGTTCACCCCCTAGCAAAGTTCCCGCCCCGGGCTCCGCAGCACAATAGAGCTGCCTGCTACTAATCATCGAAACAAAGCCAGGTTTGTGGATACAGAGTTTACAGGAAAGTTTCTCCCTCCACAATGCACGAAGGAAAGGCTTCCCCCCAGCTGCACAGCCGGGATCTAAAAGAGGCAACTGCAGAACACCCACCCCCCCCTCTGGTGAGCTATTGGCTCGGGTACACTGGAGAGGTAAGTGCTCAAGGAGCTTTGTGGCTGCTCGGGGAGCATTAGATGGAAGGATACCTACCAGCTTGCTGATGGCTGTGGTGGCGGTGGAGAAGGAGGTGCTCACCTTCTGGTGAGCCGAAATCATCACTGACATTGTTGCAAAGCAGGAGAGAGATGCCTTTCCCAAGGAGACCAACAGTCCCTTCTCCCGTGCCCTCTCCCTGGCCAAAAACTCCAGTCTCTCCTCCTCCGCTCATCAGGAAACCCATCCCGGGGCAGCGGGCATCTCGTCACTCACCCTGCTCAGAGTCTGATGGCTCCTCAAAACGAAATCTCCATGCCCCCAGGCAAGAAAAGAGTCCTTGTTTCTCCCCGGTTATCTCCGTGTTGCTGGGGACAGCGGGGGTCCAATTACTAAAAGTCACACCACGGCAAATCTTACCTGAACCCTTCACCCCAACTTGGGGCTGCAAAGGCTCCTAGGAGGCCTTTTCCCTTTTCCTTTCTCCCGCGCACATCTCTTCCACTAGCCCAGAGTGGTTTACTATTTGGGTGTGTTAAAGCACCAACAATATTTATGCGGTTGCCTCGCCCATCGTAAGTTATAGCCTCTCCCAGGAAAAGAGCCCCCCCTTTGGCTCCGCAGAGGATGCCATATTATTTATGTTGCACTTACATACCTGAATATTGAACTCTGCATTGAAATCAGACAACAAATCAATGCTCCATGGGGATAAGAAAAATTGCAGAAAGTCTCTTGCTTTTCTCCCAAAACACAGTGATGAAAGGAGAATAATGGCAATCTAGCAAACTGCATGCCACCTTTATCTCTGGAAAATAATCTGATTAAATTGTTCTTCCTCTGCACTCAAATAAACGTGCTCAAAAGAAGGAAGGGAATTAAAGCAGATGATATTTCCTTGAGTTTGAATGTATCTAGAAGACCTGGGATTAAAAAGTTTCCTTCCTTCCTAAAACAAAGTTATGTACTGGAATCTGCAGTATTTTAGGTCATTTCTAATTATCTGGAGGTTAGGTTGCAAGAACCAGTCTCTCAGAGGTATCAAGGAAACACAGCTGAACTTTAAAGAGCACATAGTGCATTTTCCATTTATTTTTATTATGTTCTCCCCAGATAGGATTGAAAGTCACATGAACACTGTACAATGAGATCATGGTTTGTCTGTTACAAAGCCAAAAATCACCCGGGAGCATGCAAATGCAACAGCACTCATGGGACAGCTCCTTCAGTCATCCCTTTGCAAAGAGGGTTTTGGCTCAGTGCGCTCCAGAGGATCAGGCCTATTTTGTTTGTGTGTTTACTCATGTAAAATAAAATATGAAAGCATCACCATCACTTGTCAATAGTAACTATCTAAAGCAGTATTGTCTTGCTGTCCTTTGTGGTTTGCTTCTGCTGGTGGTGAAGCTGGTACATCAGGCTCTCTTTCTCTTTCAAGAGCTTGTCTACACAAGCATGGTGCTGCGCTGTAACTTTCTCACTTGGGCATGAACAAACACATCCCAGTGCAGCAACTTACAGTGCTGTAAAGCACCAGAGTAAACAGGCTCCCAGCGCTGTTAGCTGCTCCCCTCCTGGAGGTGGTTTACCTGGAGCACTAGGAGAGCTCTGTCTCAGAGTTCTTGGCCTGAGCACATTGTTGCATTAAAGCCCTGCCGGGCTTGCACTTTAATCTTAGAAGTGTAGACAAAACCTAAAGCTGTTCTTGTGTTTCATGCCTTTTTATAGCCCCCAAAGCACTACAAAATTAGAAACAAAAAAATACCTTTCCTGTCTGCACTTTACCATAGCACACACCCACTACAGGCACCTTCTCCAACAAAAACGATGCCTCTAGAAGGAGATCACCCAAAAAGATGAACTCACATTATAGATACATTTTTAGTGCAGTTAATGCTGTAAAAGGAAAATCTTCATACTTTCTAAAAATGAGTTTTGTTAAAGACAGAACAGAGGTGGGATTATTTTTCTTCACTTTTCCTGGATTCAAGTGTATGTTCAGAAAGGATAACATGACTGATCAGCCTTTTCTAGGCATAACTAGGCAGAAGGGAATGCTTCATAAAAATATGGAACCTGGTACTGAACTCCTGCTGGCTCAAGTATTTAAGATACAATCAAGTTCGCATAATGTTCACCCCCTAGCAAAGTTCCCGCCCCGGGCTCCGCAGCACAATAGAGCTGCCTGCTACTAATCATCGAAACAAAGCCAGGTTTGTGGATACAGAGTTTACAGGAAAGTTTCTCCCTCCACAATGCACGAAGGAAAGGCTTCCCCCCAGCTGCACAGCCGGGATCTAAAAGAGGCAACTGCAGAACACCCACCCCCCCCTCTGGTGAGCTATTGGCTCGGGTACACTGGAGAGGTAAGTGCTCAAGGAGCTTTGTGGCTGCTCGGGGAGCATTAGATGGAAGGATACCTACCAGCTTGCTGATGGCTGTGGTGGCGGTGGAGAAGGAGGTGCTCACCTTCTGGTGAGCCGAAATCATCACTGACATTGTTGCAAAGCAGGAGAGAGATGCCTTTCCCAAGGAGACCAACAGTCCCTTCTCCCGTGCCCTCTCCCTGGCCAAAAACTCCAGTCTCTCCTCCTCCGCTCATCAGGAAACCCATCCCGGGGCAGCGGGCATCTCGTCACTCACCCTGCTCAGAGTCTGATGGCTCCTCAAAACGAAATCTCCATGCCCCCAGGCAAGAAAAGAGTCCTTGTTTCTCCCCGGTTATCTCCGTGTTGCTGGGGACAGCGGGGGTCCAATTACTAAAAGTCACACCACGGCAAATCTTACCTGAACCCTTCACCCCAACTTGGGGCTGCAAAGGCTCCTAGGAGGCCTTTTCCCTTTTCCTTTCTCCCGCGCACATCTCTTCCACTAGCCCAGAGTGGTTTACTATTTGGGTGTGTTAAAGCACCAACAATATTTATGCGGTTGCCTCGCCCATCGTAAGTTATAGCCTCTCCCAGGAAAAGAGCCCCCCCTTTGGCTCCGCAGAGGATGCCATATTATTTATGTTGCACTTACATACCTGAATATTGAACTCTGCATTGAAATCAGACAACAAATCAATGCTCCATGGGGATAAGAAAAATTGCAGAAAGTCTCTTGCTTTTCTCCCAAAACACAGTGATGAAAGGAGAATAATGGCAATCTAGCAAACTGCATGCCACCTTTATCTCTGGAAAATAATCTGATTAAATTGTTCTTCCTCTGCACTCAAATAAACGTGCTCAAAAGAAGGAAGGGAATTAAAGCAGATGATATTTCCTTGAGTTTGAATGTATCTAGAAGACCTGGGATTAAAAAGTTTCCTTCCTTCCTAAAACAAAGTTATGTACTGGAATCTGCAGTATTTTAGGTCATTTCTAATTATCTGGAGGTTAGGTTGCAAGAACCAGTCTCTCAGAGGTATCAAGGAAACACAGCTGAACTTTAAAGAGCACATAGTGCATTTTCCATTTATTTTTATTATGTTCTCCCCAGATAGGATTGAAAGTCACATGAACACTGTACAATGAGATCATGGTTTGTCTGTTACAAAGCCAAAAATCACCCGGGAGCATGCAAATGCAACAGCACTCATGGGACAGCTCCTTCAGTCATCCCTTTGCAAAGAGGGTTTTGGCTCAGTGCGCTCCAGAGGATCAGGCCTATTTTGTTTGTGTGTTTACTCATGTAAAATAAAATATGAAAGCATCACCATCACTTGTCAATAGTAACTATCTAAAGCAGTATTGTCTTGCTGTCCTTTGTGGTTTGCTTCTGCTGGTGGTGAAGCTGGTACATCAGGCTCTCTTTCTCTTTCAAGAGCTTGTCTACACAAGCATGGTGCTGCGCTGTAACTTTCTCACTTGGGCATGAACAAACACATCCCAGTGCAGCAACTTACAGTGCTGTAAAGCACCAGAGTAAACAGGCTCCCAGCGCTGTTAGCTGCTCCCCTCCTGGAGGTGGTTTACCTGGAGCACTAGGAGAGCTCTGTCTCAGAGTTCTTGGCCTGAGCACATTGTTGCATTAAAGCCCTGCCGGGCTTGCACTTTAATCTTAGAAGTGTAGACAAAACCTAAAGCTGTTCTTGTGTTTCATGCCTTTTTATAGCCCCCAAAGCACTACAAAATTAGAAACAAAAAAATACCTTTCCTGTCTGCACTTTACCATAGCACACACCCACTACAGGCACCTTCTCCAACAAAAACGATGCCTCTAGAAGGAGATCACCCAAAAAGATGAACTCACATTATAGATACATTTTTAGTGCAGTTAATGCTGTAAAAGGAAAATCTTCATACTTTCTAAAAATGAGTTTTGTTAAAGACAGAACAGAGGTGGGATTATTTTTCTTCACTTTTCCTGGATTCAAGTGTATGTTCAGAAAGGATAACATGACTGATCAGCCTTTTCTAGGCATAACTAGGCAGAAGGGAATGCTTCATAAAAATATGGAACCTGGTATGACTGAAAATCAGCAAACTCTGCAAAAGGACTTAGAGGGTGAGTCAACTGCTTTAGCCAAAAAAATGTAGCTTGCTAAGGTTATGCTTAGACATATGCTTTTGTTTAATTTGTAACCTACTCAGTTTCCATTACACTTACAAATCTACCTTTGTTGTTATTATTATTTTTTCTATCCTAAATAGATCTCAGTGCATTAATATTAAGCAAAGTATTAACTCTTAGTTGAATCAGACAAGTTGGTGTTTGCACTGTCTTTTTGGAGATCATGGTTTTGGTAATTTCTGTGAGCATCCAGTGATAGGAGCTGGATAGGCCTAAAATACCCTTCCAGGAGGCACAGGAACTAGGGTTAACAAAGGCAAAGTAAGGCTAGCTGAGCTTTGGAGATTGTTTAGGTAGCTAACAGACTGGGGTGACAGAGAGCTGTTCAGTCAGTTTTATTTCCACGAGTCTCATTTTTGCTAAGGCAAAGGAATAACAAGGTTGCTCATAGTTCTGGGTGCCCTAATGAAATGTCTCAATCACATACAATGCCACAACACAGAGTAAAAAGGTTCCTGAGCCTTTTGGAAAACATGTAATGTGCAAAATGCTAGCAACTACATATTAGTAATGCACAAAATACATCAATTTCAGAATCTTTCAAGAAACAGATTTAGCCAGACCTGGTAAGGATCAAGTATGCCCACCCAAAATTAACCCAGACTGCAAATCTTTGGAGAATCACCAAATCTGATAAGTACCCAAAACAGCATTAACATGATTAAGACTGAATGAGGGCATTTCCTACCCATATGTGTTAAAAATATTTTCAGTGACTGGGTGTCTGTGGTTTATAACAAGGGCACACATCATTGAATGAGCACTCAGAATAAGCATTTTCACAGTCAGATTAACTTGTCATGAATAAATTTGTTCAACTTTACGACATTAACAAGAGTATGTTACATGCTAGATTAGACACCCAAACACCAGCGTGATGGGTATCAAGCTGTCTGGAGTGACTAAAGAGTGTGGGGGCCAATCTCAGGGAAGACTTTAAGAAGCAGGGTACCAATCCCAAACTAGTTGTGAATGCTATACTTCGATTTCACCAATCAAGTTGGCTTCCCAGGCACCACAATAACTTAACCATGAAGTTACACACAGTCCCCTTGGGTACTCCTATATATCTTGGCAACCTGGCAATCTTTCCTTTATGACAGATGATCCTTTATACCACAACAGTAACAGGTTACTCCCAAACCCAAAGGTTCAGTCACTTAAGCCAAGTCAGTTGAACCTTAAACCTCACACCAAATACAATACTGCAGCCAATCCTATAATAACCCATTTCAGTTTTATTAACTAAGACAAGAAAATAGTTATTTACAAGGTTAAAGCAGATAACTATATAC